TCTGCTTCCTTGGCATAGAGCTCAGCTTCGCTGGCATGAAGATCAGCTTCTTTGGAGTAGAAATCTTGTTGATGTTTAATATTAACCTGCATTCTGCTGTAATGAGCTGAGATGTTTTCATAAATGGGACCAGGGTGCATCTACAGAAAGAAGACAAATGATATGAGCATTGGGTTATTTAACACTAAGGATTCAGTTTTTGCCTCATTGAAATAAAGAAATTACTTTTTTGCAAACGTTGTACATTTTGCAAAACGTTTTGATGTATGATATCTATCAGATTTAAATAGGTTCGGTTTTTTTTCCTTTCATTCTTTGTATCCAGTAAAACACATTTTTTTTATTTATTATTGTCATTAATGAAGCTAAAAGTATTTCTTATTATTCAATTAATCAATGGAATAATTGATGAAATATTGAATTACTAAAATAACCAATAGCTGCAGCCCTAATGGCTAGCAATTCGTGCAGAGGATGGTGAGAATTTTTTTTATGGATAACAGTTCAGTGGTCTCCTCCCCAAAAGAGCTTTAGATGTGTGCAGATGCAGCTGATGACACTGTGTCATAATGTAAATGGCCTGCATTTGTATAGCGCTTTTCTAGTCCTTAAGGACCCCAAAGCGCTTTACACTACATTCAGTCATTCACCCATTCACACTCACATTCACACACTGGCGATGGCAAGCTACATTGTAGCCACAGCTGCCCTGGGGCGCACTGACAGAGGCGAGTGTGAATGTGTTTTAGTCACATAAAAAAAAATACAACTGTTGAGTAGAAACATAATTGAGGTAGGTGGTGAGCTCCAGTGACAAAAAGGCTACAAGAGGTTAGGATGTAAGTGAGAAAAAAAAGCATGATGAATGACTTTAAAGTTTTTTTCTGTGATGGAGAATAAATTATTATTCCTGTGAAGAGAAAATGAGAGATTTTTTTAACCTGTTTATTATCTGAAGTTTCTTGTCTTGGAGACTGACTGGAAGTCCTCTTTTTTCTATTGCACAAAAATAAATAAATAAAATGTTAAAACATTTGGTAAATGTAGTGATTTTTTAGATAGCGCTTCTCTACACTCCTGGAGTACTCAAAGCACGCTATACAACATGCCACATTCACTCTATGCTTTCTCACTAGCATACACATTCATACTGTGATGGATGCATCGGAGAGCAAGTGGGGGCTAGTATCTTGCCCAAAGATATTTGGCATGCAGACTGAGGGAGGCAAGAATCGAACCACCAACCTTTTGATCAACAGATGACCTGCTCTAGCTCCTGAGCTACAGCCACTCCATTTCATATCACAGTTTAACCATGACTGGTATGACAGATGAGACAGTGTAGCTTACCTCCTGCACCAGCAGACAGTGAGAGGTATTAAAACCAGCAGAGCAGCAGAACCTCCTGCAGCTGCTGGTGTCCATGTTCCTGTGATACTTTGGACAGTGAGAGTCTTTGGAGCAGAGCTGATATCTGTGTTGGTTTTCACAGCACAGGAGTAGCTTCCTGCATCCTCCCTGCTGACTGGGTCTAGGATCAGATGTTTGTTCTGGTTCTCTCTTGGGGTCAGAGGTCGACTGTTCAAGTACCAAATGTAGTTTGTGTTGTCAGTCAGAGGACAGCTGGTACTGCAGGTCAGTGTGACTCTCTGACCCTCTGTCACCACTGCAGAAGGACTCATCTTCACTCTCAGCTCTGAAAGAAGAACATACAATAATAATAATTATTATTATTATTATTAGACTCCAGAAACCGCCAGTGTCATTTTTAAATCATGTTTAGTGAGTAATGCCATGTTTTAAGTGAAAAAACATAAAAATTTACTGAAGCTCAGTTCTTCATTTCTGTGACATTTTACAGGGATTGTTTGCTTTATTTCATTGTATTTGTCTGACAACTGGGGTTATTAATTTCTTTTCAGCTATTCATGCCATTATTGTTACTGTTCTATGTTACGTGTGGGTTATATAGATGTTTTTTTAATATTACACCTTGTGATATTTGTTCAATCCAACATGAAACTTTAATGACTATCATTTTCTTAATTTCTGTGAATAGGAAAATGAATATTTGTGTGTATTTGATATATATAGCAAAGTGCTCATTAGAAAATATTTGATCAAGATTATAAAATAGTTTTATATAATTTAAAAGTCAAAAATAATGTTTTTTTCACTTGATCTGACTGTACAAACAAAAAACACTGAAAGGGTGAATTTTTCTACAAAAGGAAAATGTCTGTTTGCTTTTGATCCTTGCTCTGTAATGGAATATTTTCACAGTCCTGTTAATGAGTAAAGTCTGCTGAGTGA